AGTAACTCGAGGAATAACCGGGTGATGGTGGAAGGGGTCGGGGCCCGAGTAGTGCGCGGCCCGGACTGGAAGTGGGGGAAGCAGGACGGCGGCGAGGGCCATGTGGGCACCGTCCGGAGCTTCGAGAGCCCTGAGGAGGTGGTGGTAGTCTGGGACAACGGCACCGCCGCCAACTACCGCTGCTCCGGGGCCTACGACCTGCGCATCCTGGACAGCGCGCCCACTGGTAAGCGGGGGCCACCTGGCCAGAGGGGCCTGCGCGCTTGGGGTAAAGGGCCAGGCCAGGTGTGGGGGCGTCGGGCCGCCTGGGAGAAGCCTGCGGTAGAACGCCTCGCCCGCAGCTCCTGGCTGGAGGGAGAGGAAAGGGAAAGAGCCAAAGGGAATTTTAGGTTCAATACCGGGTAAACAAAAACTTGCGGAGAAGACCTCCCCTTCCCTCTGCCCAATCCCTAAGGGAAATGATGGCAGCAGCATCACCAGAATGCTTTCAAGCCTGGAAGGCACAAAGCCCCGAGAAGACGCCAGACGCTTCCCCTCCTCTTTCTCCTCTAGGGAAGGGGTCTGGAGAGGCCTGTCTAATAAGCCATTGAAATTAATCAGCCACCGAGTGATAACTGTCTGAAGGGAGGCTTGCCTTGCCATATGGTGTTTAGTTGACCGGTTACAATTGCCGAGGGGCCCTTGGTACCCTAGATTTGTTGAGGTACCCTTCCCCCTCCTCTAACATGTTCAGTAGCTGAATGCTTCTTGGTACCCTGTGGTTTTTCATCTTAGTTGTTTCATTGTATATCTATATACCAGTAGAGAGAAAAATAGCCCACGATGTTGAACCATTTCTTTGTGTTAAATACTCTTTTCAAGTTGGAGTAGATATAGGGGACACCTGGTATATATATATTTTTAACATCTCGGTTCATATGTAAGGTTATGTCAGAGACTTACCCATTAACAGCAGTGAGTCAGTGTCCTTGATTCACCAAATTTCAGGGCATTGTTAATGATTCTAGAATTTTTATATAATTTGATAAATTGAAGGCTTGCTCTTATGAAATAAGTATAATTTATCGTAATAGAATTCATTTTCATGTAGATTTATCCTTGGTGCTCTGTTCAGTAGGAAACAGTTCAAATTTAAAATATGATAGTTTTCAGAATGCTTTAATTTGTTACTTGTAAGGCTTTTAAGATTGAGTTTGGCAAAACCTAGCAAATCCCAAAGTGAGTACATAGTTATTGTTAGCAGCAGTAAAAAGGAAATGAATACAAGGCAACTCAGCTTTTAAATAGATAATTCATGAATTTGTGTTTCTTAGCTGGCTTTTTAAACATTGAAAAGGATGTATGTGCAGCAGCAAAAGAAAAGATTCAACAGTGCAAAAGGGGGTCACCACTGTTACCAGTTTCTTGTGTGTTCTTACAGAATACTCATTGAAAGCATGTGTATTAATCTATTATAAATCTGCAAACCTTTTAAAGCATGATTGGTAAGAAACTGCTATATTCTCTTCTGCGCTTTGCTGCTTAACTTAATAGGACACGTTGATGATTGTTCCATGTTAGGACATGTAGGTCCACCTTATTCTTTCTTAGTTGTGTAATAGTCCAGTGATTGGATACAGCAATGTATTTAACCAGTGTTTTCTTGATGGGCATTTATATTGTTTCAGGTCTTCTGTTTCTAATGATGCAGTGAATAAATCCTTGTCCATATAGCCTTGTGTATGTGTACTGTACTTCTGAAGTGGAACTGCTGCATCAAAGGATACACATATTTAACTTTTTGATTGATGTTGACTAAATGCCCTCAAGACATTTTACAGTTTACCCTCCTAGCAACACTGTATGGGGCATAGGCCTACTTCTGCACACTCTGAAAATTCTATCATGTTAGCTCAAGCCAAGGTTTGACCACAACTCAATCATTTGGAGGCATCTTGGGATCAAGTAATTGCAGGTTTATGAGGAATTTTAAATATCTTACCAGGGTGAAGGTAGAGTATAATAAATCCTGTACTACAGCAATTCTTAAAGGAATATTAATGTTGTCTGCGTGTTTTATAGAATGGAATATATCTGTTATATAAATAGTATTATCTTTTTAAAAACATATTTTTCAGCAGCTTTAAAATCATAGTTTAATTTACAAGGTAATTTTACATATTATTGTGTGTAGCAATTCATCTTGTTCATCTGATTCAGTTAGCAGACATTTTAAAAGCACTTTGGAGAAAATTAATGTTAAGCAAATAGAGCAAGAAAATAAAGTTTCTTCAAAAAGAAAACCTGTGGTATGTTGAAGTGTAGAACTGTACTGTTTAGTGTTTAGGATTTCTCAGTTTTGGCACTATTGCTATTTTGGATTGATGACTTATTAGATGATTCTTTGTTGGAGGGGGCTGTCCTGTGCAGTGGGGCCAGCATCCTTGGCCTCTGCTCACTGGCTGCAGTCATGATAACCCAGAATATTTTCAGACATCGCCAGGTCTCCCCTGAGGGGCAAAATTGCCCCCTGATTGATACTCATTGGTTTAGGGATATGTACACGTGTAGTAAAGGTACACCAAGAAAGTAATAATAAATGCCACAATTGAGGGAGTGAGTATCTCTATGTGGAAGGAAGTGGAGTGTAGTAGACGGAAGTACCCCAGGGGCTGTAACAATTTTGTTAAGTTTTATGTCTTAAACTGGGTGGTGGGTGCATAGGTGTTTGTTGTATTTTTATGCTTTTTGTGTTCTTAAATTTCATAGTTAATTTTAAAAAGTCTTATAATATTTACCGGGACAACTGCAATTCTCTTTGATTATTCATTCTTTGTTCCTTACATATACCCACATTTTATGAACAGGTAATTTATTGCAGTCTGTTTGGGAATTAAGGAATGGGTAACCTTTAAAATAAAATTCTGTGAAACGTCTCTGAGAGTTAAGGATTTTGGAGTGGTTCAGTCATTTTGAATCTTTTTGATACTACTTTACTGTCAGTTGGAGATTTTGTCCGAGGGTTGTACGTGGAGTCTGTAATATTTTGGCACATAAGCTTTATTTTTTCTTTCAGGTGACACATAAGTTTGCCTTTATGGTCTAGGATAGTCAGGCCTTGAGAAGAGGAGCATTGGGTATATATTTGAACGATACAACTTGTATCCAGATATATTTGGTTAATTTGTAATGACCAAGAAGATTGTGGAAATACATATGTTATTGTTGAATTAGTTTGGGGTTAATTTTGTGAAGTCTGTAATCAAGTAGGCATAGTTGACCTTTTACCATTTAGGTACTGATTTACAGGATTTGGAGAGAAAGGTGTTTTTACTTAATACTTGTTTTTTGGTCACTCTGGTACAGTGTTGTATTGTTACCAGAGAAAGAGTGGAGAAAATGAATTTGAGTTTCCTGTTAAGGTTCTTTTTACCCTCTTGGGTATGGATAACAAAAGTTAGGAGCAGGGGTGAGGGTCAGTGGTAGAGTGCCTGCTTAGCATGCATGAGGTCCTGGGTTCAATCCCCAGTACCTCCATTTAAAAAAAAAACAACAACAAACTTAAATAAGTTAGGAGTATAGATGGTTAGGTTTATTCACAACTAGCTTCTAGTAGTGTTGGTCCATACTGTTTAGGGGACAGTTCTTTGTCTTTTTCTTCCATCACTAGCAAAGAGTGCTTCTTAGGTCACATGTGGGCCAACTCCTTAGATATTAGTATTCAATTGAAGGTCTAGAAATGCTCACCCTGGATAAAAAATGAAATAGATTTATAATCCTCAGCTTTTCCTTTCTGAGGCCCCCTATTTCTCTTCTGATCTGTTTCCAAAAGTATAGGAGAAAAGAGTATTATCAAGGGACAGAGCCTTAGAGGGGGAAAAAAAAAAACAGGACTTGTGGAAACAATGTTTGGGGAATAGGATGCCAGACCTGGAAAGGAGATATTGTGAGATGTTTCTTACTAGTGGCATCTATTTCCTATAGATCCTATGTATTTTAAAGACTTAACGTAGAATGTCTTCCTTTTTATCTTCATCTGCTGAAACAATATTTTAAATGATGACAGTCCATCTAGTTTTAATACTGCCTGTAGATTGCAGCTTGAGACTGAGGACCTCAAGAAATCAACTTGAAGATCTCAAGAAATAGTTACCCTTTTTATCAGTACTTCTCAAACAGGCACAGATTACCTGGGAACCTTTAAAAATGCAAATTCTAGTTCAGTAGGTATGGGATTCAGCAAGAGTAGTTCTAAAAGCTCCCAGGTGATGCAGATGATGCTGGCTTATGGACACACTTTGAATTGCAGGATGCTAAGTGATTGCTTGTCTGTTGAGATGTCCAGGCTCTCTGTTGTCTTCTTTTCCCCTCAGCTGATTCACAAGGCTTCATTGTTTGTCAGTAATATATGTCTTCAGTTTTAGAGATGGACGTTACTGGGTGGAGAGAAGGGGGAGAAATAAAGGAACATGAAACAGCTTTCTAATATATGTATTTGTTTACAAATGCAATGATGTCTTACTATATATTCTGGTTCTAAACTTTACTGCTTTATCCCTTTGGTTAGATTAGATACTTCTTTTTGGATGTGTTTCCGGGTAGCCACCCACCAGGGTCTCTCCTCAACCTTTAATTGCTAGGCAGTGTGAGCGCAGTGCACTCTGTGCTTCTGCCTCCTGCCACAGGCATGCTGTGTGTAATTGTCTTTTGCATGAGATTATTAGTCTGATGGGAAGGAATGTGGGTGTGTTTTCCTTGTATCTCCATTTTCTAGCAAAACTATGGCTCTAGATGAATATTTTCTGAATAAAATGCTCTTTTCAAAGAGGTTTGGGTTCATTTGATCTGTGGTTAGATAGATATTATCCTGAAACATGTAAAAGGAAACAGGCTTGGAGAGCTGAAGAGACTGGTCCAGTCACGAAGCTGGTGAATGGCAGATGTAGGGATGAAGAGTCAGGTCATTGCTTTTCCCCTTCATTCTCTCCTCTACTCATAGTGTAGTAGTTCAGAAATGATCACCATTTGTACTAATACTCCTGAGGAAAAATTGACTAGGAAATTAAAATAACTTACTCTGCTCCGTGGTATGGTTATTTGAGTAACTTAACACTGTTGTTGGACTTTAATGGTTTTTCTGTGTGTGTATCCTACTAGTATGTAACAAGTAGTTTGTTATATCTAATTATATTTAGCTTCCTTTAGGAGAACATATAGGTCCTGTGAAAGAGTTTTTGCTGTCAAAGC